AATATTATTATTTATTTTTTGCCTTCCTTTTTGACTGACCACCCCAACTATTCTTCTCTTCATTATCCACGACAGTCAACCAATTACCAATTATGCATAATGATGATTTGAAGTAGGCTGAACCTTAAATAAATCTTGAATGTAGTGTTTAGATAATAAATTTGAGCGAAATAATGGCATTGAATGGAAATAGAATAAAGATATTATAGATGTATGGAAACTTTTTTGACATTCAGATTAAAGTTGTATCTCTTCCTGCTATGGGATTAGTAATCCAGCATGAACTTGTTATCATGTTGATATATACCTTTGCCACTACTACCTTTCCTGATTAATAAAAATAATGTAATAAATAGATTATTAGCAATGTTAAAGAAAAACTAACTGTATAGAAACTTTTTTGAGGTAGTGTAAGGATGAAGAAAATGAACAAATGCAGAGAGAACCAGAAATAAAAAAATTAGGCATTTGTATTCATTTGACTTTCTTAAATATATATGAGTCGTTTATTTACAAAGTGAACCATTGACAATTTATAAGGAAAAAAAAAATGTTTTCTATTCCAATTTTATTATCAAAAGCAATATTTAAAAAAAAATAAATTCTTTATTTTTAGCAAGAATTCAGAAAATTATTCTAATAGAAACTTGTGGATTTACCCCAGAGAGATCCTGTATTGACTACATTTTCATCCCAAGACAGCTACTAGAAAAGGCATAACAAGATTAAGAAAAGGCAAATGTATAAGGAAGGCTGGAGTAGAACAAGGAATTATGAACCTAATTAAAGAAATTTATACAAATAATAGCTGATTATGTAACTTTCCAAATTTAATTAAAATAAAGGCAAATGACTCTAATGTGTATGGAACATCTTATAATATAATGCAACAGGTTTTAGACCTAATGATCCCTTTTCCAGTTCTCAGGGGTGATGTATTTTGATGAATGAGGTATCAAACGAAAGAGTATTAAATGGAGCAGTGACGAATCATAGTAACATCCACCCGACAGTTTAGGGAAAAGTTATGAATGAAAAGAAAATTTATTTGCGAATTACTTAAAAAGTATACATATTTTTCTTGATTCGACCCATTATTATTTGAAAATTCACTAAATTCCCAACAAATAGAAAAAAAACAAACAAGAAAATCAGACCATTATTTACAAAATATAGCCTATTGTAATTTATGTATTATTGTTTCAAATATTTTTTTCAAAGAAGTGTTTTAAAATATTAAATATCATTTTGACACATACCATTTTCAAAAATACTTTCATAATTTCTTATTTTTATGTAGTAAAGGATAACTCTGACAATTTTTAAGATTAAATAACTGCCTTTTAAAACCCTAAAATGTACAATTTTTCAGTTTCCGTTTGAGCCCAACCTTATACCTGCGATGGGAAATCTTGATGCCACTGTTGTCATGAATTCTGATTCTTATAAAAATTACAATTTCCAGCCCTCTATAGATACAAATTGGATACTCAAGGCTAAAACATGGAAACCTATAGACAAAGGGAACATTCCTTGAGTTTCTTTTCGGCGTGGTAAATATCATGGTGATGCACATCTAGACTGAGCATTGTGCCTATAAAGATCATTGAAGTGAAATGGATTTGGAAAATAATATTTCTGAAATTTTGAAAAAAAACTCGAAGATATCATCAAATTTTTTTTATTTATTAAAAAGTGGCACTTCCGGTTAGCCGATTTTAAGGAAAAAGTTGCCGTCACAACTAAGGCATATACCTATCTTAAATATGTGATATCAGTTTCATAGGACTTTTCGTTTTTGAGCTAAACTGCTAACATACAAACACACAGACCATTTTTCAGGACTTGGTCATTTCGACTCAGGGTACCTCAAAACGTATAAATCTGTCGAAAACTAAGATTCAAAAATTTTCTCGATCGCAATACTTACACTTACTATATATTACATATATACGTAAATGAAAGTAAAAATATTTAAAAATCGTGATATCTCTACTAATAGTGCTTCGATTTCGATAAAACTTCTTTTGTTTTTTAGGCAATTTAAATACCTTTGAAACATCTTATCACAACATTCCCAAAAAAGTGTATACTTTTTGAGTTATTCGGAATTTAATTTTACCATCCCTCGTAACTTTTTTTCAGCTTCTTTTCGCCGATGAATGTTATATAGATAAATTTGAAGGGTGTCGAGAAAATGACTTTAGCGAAGTTTCAATGAAATCGGTACATTCGTTTAGGCGCTACAGTCTATAGCTACGTTTTTCTGCATTTTTATTTTTTTTCTCCTTTATTAACTTATCAAATTCTTTCAAAAGTTATATTTAGCATTTTTTCGTAACTCTGAATAATGCGAAATAATTATCTTTTTAAAATAAACCATATTAAAGGTAGTTTAGAGGAAGACGTATATGAACATTGGGCATTTAAGCCCTGAAAAGTCGATGGGGATAAGACCTAATTTATATTAAAGACCACTTAATTATACAATGATACACTGAGTTTAATCAAAATCGTTAGAGCCGTTTTTGAGAAAACTGTGAAAATGTGTTTCAGCGTTGATATAAAGTGGCACTTCCGGTTAGCCGATTTTAAGGAAAAAGTTGCTGTCACAACTGAGGGATATACCTATCTTAAATACGTGATATCAGTTTCATAGGACTTTTCATTTTTGAGCTAGACTGCTAACATACATACACACAGACCATTTTTCGGGACTTGGTCATTTCGACTCAGGGTACGTATAAATCCGTCGAAAACTCAGATTCAAAAATTTTCTTGATCGCAATACTTACACTTACTATATATTACATATATACGTAAGTGAAAGTAAAAAAACACAACTATATAACAATTTCATTTTTTGTAAATGTTAATGTTTTCTACCTTCAAGTTTACTGTTATTTTTTATATTGTGTAATATAAATAAAGAGCTAAAATGGCTCATAAGTTGTAGGAAAGTCCCCATCGTTAGAAATAAATATAATATACACTATATATTTTTTCTCACTGGTGTTTTATTTCAGCATATCTTTGTTAGTTTCAATTATCGAACCATCATTTTAAAGATTGTCCAAACACAACCCCCAACATATCAGAAAAATAAATAAAATTAATTTGACCATAACAGAAAAGTATGCGATTTACGGTGGATTAAATCCATAAATAATTAAAACGTTACAATATATATATTATATATATATATATATATATATATATATATATATATATATATATATATATATATATATATATATATATGTATAGAGAGAGAGAGAAATCGGACCATTACAAGCAAAGATATAGACTACAGTAAACTGTAAAAATGTTTTGGTTTATTTTTATGAATTAACTATTGTAATTCGACTAAGAAAAGGAAAATGAATTCTTTTAACTCATAATACATTGCATTAACATATTTCCATACTATTATATCAATTGTTCTCTGCCTAATATTTCATGCGAATTATTAGCACGGGCCAGCTAGTTTGACTTATTTTAGCAGTGGACTGCATTTTGATTAAGCGGTAGGTTATATGAATTATGTAAAAGAAACAAACCCTTTTATGCTGGCATAGACATCTTACTTAGCTGAGAGGGGTCTCCAATCTGCTTCAGTTGATGCCTCTTAGAATCTCTGCGTTGAAATGGGTGCGTGCATCAGGTAGCCGGTGCAGATTAAATTTTATCTTTTAGATGATTATCTGATCTGCTTGTACTATTCGCCGCAACGCAACGATCAGGTATAATAGCTTTCGCAATACAATAGGTGTCCAATAAAAACAGGCTCATTACTATTCAGGAAATTCCAAAATGGAAAAGGGTTGCTACAAGGATGTTGCATGTCCCATACCCTATTTAAAATATACCTTGATGAAAAAAAAAACCAATGCCATTTAATATTTGCTGATGACCAGGTATTAATTACACAAGATGAAGAGGATATCAGCTACATATTCAGAAGAATAATTGTTCATTATGATCAAGTTAGTCTACAAATAAATTACAGCAAAACCAAATATATGTGCATGGAGAAAGAATCAACCCAACATTATGCAACTTAATTAAGGTGGAACAATTTTGTTACTTGAAATTCATTATTGAAAGTAATGGGAGAACAGAGGAAGAAATCCAAAAATGGATCGCAAATGGTAAAAAAACAGTGAAAAAACGCTTAACCCATTACTCTGGAGCAGTAATATTTTACTAAAAACAAAAAAGTTAATATACAAAGCTTTGGTAGAAAGCTCAATGCTGTATGGTTCGGAAAATAAGCAAACATTAGTGATAAAACAGAAATTATTAGTATATACAATTAAAGTTGGAAATTAATAATCACAAATAAAAATTCATATTCAAATGTTTTTAGTCTCTTTTAAGACAAATTTTAAAAACAGCAGAAGAAATGTGCTTTAGAATAACTTTGTATTGCAAAAATGAAACATGTATTAACCATCAATGGTTTTCCTTAAATAAGAGAAAATGGTTAACTAAGAAAGGAACTATTATTATTTTTACATGAGGACGATCAGTCCCAAGAATCTATGACTTTATTCAGTTGAATGTTGCCCTTCAAAACAGCTAAATAACTTCTTAAAACGATATGCCAATTTCATTCACTAGACATATAATGTATGTTTGATGTAAGAGTTTTCCTTGATGTAAGAAGCAACATTTCTTGAGAATGAATTCAAAATTCATACAACTACAACACTGTTCTGCACAAACAGTAATTACTAGTGATTAAAAATATGTTTCGAATTTTACTTCACAAATAAGCAAGAGGATAATAATGTAATATAAATATATATATCAACACTACTAAAAAGATTAAGTTAAGAATAAAAATTACAATTAATCAAATATCAAATTTTATCACTGCTTCATTTAATACAAAATGAAAATTACTTAAAAACTACAAAACATAATAAAAGTAACCAAGTAAACTATAAAAATTTTTAATGAAAGATCAAATTCATATATTAAATAAGAAAACATACTTTAGTTGGAAGTTTCTCAGTGGTCTTTTTGAATTCACTCTCCCATTTTTTAAGTACATACTTGGATTTTTCATACTTTAATTTCTGAATAGAGTCCATTTTACTCCCTTAAAACAACTAACTTTGGCGTTATCTCAAGAGTCAAACCATGACAATTCACTATAACACTAAACATAAACAAAGACTTCTCATCAAAATCAACGCGGGAAACTAACGGGAAACTAAATAACTAAATATGAAAAAAATTACCTGTTTATTTATACAAAAGAAATTGTCATCGATTTTCAATAATTTGTTATAAATTAATAATAGAATATTTTTATTTAAATAAAAATAAGTATAATAATTTTTCAAATGGAGTTCATAAACCATACAATTTTAAATGGATTCATATAACATTGATTTGAAAGTTCCTTTCATCCACATGTTCCAATAGCCTCGTTGAACTAGTTCTTCTTGACGGATTCACAGGTTGCTGTAGTTTCTTAATTTAGTTGACTTAAATTTACAAAAGCATTTAAATAATTGTTGTTGTTTTTAGGCAAAATGTCGGCACATCTATCTTGGATGATAATCCGCAATAATAATGCTTACCTTACCAAAAAAAGGAATATCAAGAAACATTTCAGCACTGTAGGTATTCCTATTGAAATTTTTTTTGCTAGTTTTTATTTATTATTCAATCATGTTTTATTTGCAGGAGCCCCATAATTTGCTGAATTTGGCTTCCTTCAGGTATAATGGTCTTGTGCATCGCAAGAGTATTGGGATCGTTCCTGCTGACAACAATGGTTTTAAAGTCACATGGAAAAGAGCTAAAGCACATGTAAGTTTTCTTATCATTTTGTATTTTGATAGTTAATTTGAATTTTTATTTATTTCATTGAATATGTTATGTATAGATGCTAAGATTTCTTTTATAATGCTATTAACTTATTTAGATAAGGAATTATCTTTATAGTTTGTTAGTTAATATACTCAATTATGAAATGTTAGCATATCATAATTAAGTATTAATGCACTTTTATTAATTCAGGTTTTCCGGGTATTACTAAGTTAGTAGCAAGACCCAAATTTTTTGAGATTACCTACCTATTTTATTTGCAACCAGTTTTTAAACTGATTAATTAAGTATCTGTTGGAGTTTGTTTACTCAAAAGTTATTAGTCAAGTTTTATATTGTCCATTTGATGATATATTCATATAATTGTGTTTATTTTGATGAATTCAAATAAATGATTAATAGGAATATGAATCAAAATGGAACATTGAATATGAAATTCCATAATATGATTTTCAATATATTAATTTTGATCAGATCATGCTTATAATTTCTAATCCCAAGGTTTTTTTTTTTTTTTGTCAAGTTGGAAATTAATTACAGTTGTAAACATTGGTAGTTTTCTTTTATTATTAAATATAGGTTATATTGTTTTAATGTTCAATAAGTATCTTGTATTGTTTTTAATTTTTATTGAGCAGTTGTTATGTTTTAAATTTTCCTATTCAGTTGCATTTTTAAATTTTTATGAACATTGCTTATTAGTTGCCATTTTAATATAAAATTACCTATTGCTGTTTTTTTTTGTTACTAATTTGAACCTAATAATGCTATGATATAAATTGTTTTAGTTAAATGACAAAAATGAAAAATTGTATTTAGTTATTAATACAATAGCTTTCAGAACTCATTTTACTTTTACTTACCTATATATGAAATATATAATAAGCAAGAATAATGCGATCATGACAATTTTTGAACCTGAGTTTTCAATGGAAATACATCATATTTTTAAGTCTCTTGAGTCAAATAATGGTGGGTGTAAACTGTCTAGCTCAAAAATGTGAAGTCATATGAAAGTGAAAATTACATATGTTTGGTCAAAATCAGCTAACTGGAAGTGACACTTCATATCATGGACTGAACACATTTTTATGATTTTCTCGCAAGCGGCTCTTAACAATTTTGATTAAATTCGTTATATCAGTGTAAAATTAAGTAGTTTTAAATAAAATGTAGGTTTTGTTCTGATTGATGTTCTCTCACAGTTCTTAAATGCCCAATTTTCAATATTAGTTTCTCCTAGAGTACCTTTAATTTTGTTTATTTAAAACAATTGACCATTTCACATTTATCTCCAATATAAAAGATTGTTGAATATAAAACATAAAAGAATTTTATAATTAAAGGAGAAATAAGACATCATAATGGAGAATATTTGTAATTAAGGATCCAAAGGAATATGAGCACACCCAAGCTCTCCCGAATGAACACTGTTCCATAGTAACATGAGCTTAATGTCACTGCCGGGCCTTAAAGTGGGGCAACCGCCTATTGAGGACGCCGACTGAACTTCAGGGGCACTTGCCTGATCAAATTTTAAAAAAATACAATAATATTAAAATAATTAATTTTAGCCTGTCAATGAAGCAAATGTATGAGAGAATTGTTAAATGATATAAAATTGAAATATTACTGTTAAGGGGACGCTACACAGTCATTTCAAATTGCATTCCCAGGAACTTATGACGTTCCGAATTATCGTGTAAGGTAGTGAATGAAGTACTGATGGTGGTGTGCGGCGGATTTCTGAACATCCGGAAATTAAAGGTTCATTCACTAGAAGTGGAGGGGGGACTGAGGTAAAAGTAATGGGGAGACTTATCTTACTACTGGATACATTAGTTCACCTAGGTCTCTCAACCATTATAAATTTTTTATTTCCATTCAAAGTATATAGTTAAATAATTTTTCATGTCCTTAGTTTATATTTTATAAACCATCTTCAACTATATCTTTTAAATAGTCAAGTGGGCAACAAATTAAAAAAAAAAAGTGGAAACTTCCCAATTTACTTAAAGAAAAAAATAATCTTTAACTGTTGTATATATTTATCAGTTCTTTTCCCATTGTCCTCAACAAATTTATTATTTTACCTTTCCTTAATTTTTGTAAGTAGTAGGCTTATATTTTACTAACTTTTGTCAAAACGATTTTCTATGAGATTAACCTTACTACTAGATAAGTTAGTTTACCTAGGTCTCATTTTTAAGTAAATAATTTCATAAAAGTAAATAGTTGTTTATATCTCTAGTTTATATTTTTATTAGCTATTTTCAACTATTTTTACTTTCACTTACGTATATATGTAATATATAGTAAGTGTAAGTATTGCGATCGAGAAAATTTTTGAATCTGAGTTTTCGACGGATTTATAAGTTTTGAGGTACCCTGAGTCGAAATGACCAAGTCCCGAAAAATGGTCTGTGTGTTTGTATGTTAGCAGTCTAACTCAAAAACGAAAAGTCCTATGAAACTGATATCACGTATTTAAGATAGGTATATGCCTTAGTTGTGACAGCAACTTATTCCTTTAAATCGGCTAACCGGAAGTGCCACTTTATATCAACGCTGATCAAACACATTTTCTCAAAAACGGCTCTTAACGATTTTGATTTAACTCTGTGTATCATTGTATAATTAAGTGGTCTTTAATATCAATTAGGTCTTATCCCCATTGATGTCACTTTACAGGGCTGAAATGTGCGATGTTCATATATGTCTTCCTCTAAAGTACCTTTAATATGGTTTATTTTAAAAAGTTAATTATCTCGCATTATTCAGAGTTACGAAGAAATGCTAAATATAACTTCTGAAAGAATTTGATACGTTAATAATGGAGAAAAAAATAAAAACGCAGAAAAGCCTGCGTAGCTACAGACTGTAGCTCCTAAACGTAGGTACCGATTTCATTGAAATTTTTCTATAGTCATTTTCTCGACACCCTTCAAATTTATCTATATAACATATTTCAGCGAAAAGAAGCTGGAAAAAAAGTTACGAGGGATGGTAAAATTAAATTCCGAATAACTCAAGAAGTATACACTTTTTTTGGTGATGTATGATTTTTGAAAAGTTTATGGAATAGCCTAAAAAACAAAAAAAAACTCGTTAAAATCGGACAATTACGAGATAAGATATGGTCTCAAGTTTTTTTTTTAATACGTTCTGCTGCAAAGATTATGTCCTTTGTTTCGGTTTTTGAATTTTGAATGTGTTAATTAGGTAATGCTAATTTTTTTAGCATATTACTAATGATTATAAAGAAAAGTTTACTCCATTAATTGGAATCACCTTTTATTTATTGTTATTTTTAACTTGGAAGGTAATGTTACTTTAGATGTATAATTGTTTGCAAATAATATACCATTGTGAAATAATTAGCAGCTTTGTAAAATATTTAGCAAAAAAATGCTAAATATAAATGCTTATACAGTTCGAAAATAAATCTCTGGAAATACAGATCAGAAGTATACTTATAATATATCGTTGGAAAGCTGAGAATTTTAGAAAAACAATATCTAATATAGCAAGTTGTAGAAGGTAACGGAGAGCGGCGAAAAACTTACAATTAACAATTTTTGAAAACTGATAATATTTAACGTAAATCACATGCTTTCAAGGAAATTAAATGAAATTTACTGACAAAATGTAAACTTTAAAAAATATTTTTACGTCTGTAGAAAGTATTTAAAATCCACCTGAGCAAGTTAATGGCATTGTTAAAAAAACTATTTCATTGTACTTGTGTGAAAGAAGAAATAAAATATGAAATCATTTCATGGAGGTATAAATCATGTGTTTATAATATTAAATACATTTACTGTAGTTTAGTGAGTATTTATTAAATTTTAAATTAGTCTACAATCGTCTTATCTTTTTGGCTACATTCAAGGAATTGCTGTGTTATATATGTGTGCGATGTTGTATTGCGTTCCTGGCGTTTGAGAATTTAAAGAGAAAAAAGGAAATTTTTATTTTAGGAAAGTGTTTATTATGCTATGTCTATTCTTTAATATGGTTTATTGTTGATAATTTGTAAGAGCATTGTTATGAAGGGGGAGAAAAAAAAAGAAGAAAAATATAATATAAATTAATGTCGGTATGGATTGATAAGTACATGCTGTGTACAAAGCAACCCTATGTAGTAGGGCAGCATTGCTTTTAATTAAGTATTTCTCTCTAAATAATTAGGTATCAAAGTTTATTCCAAAATATTGTCATGTAACTTTTTAGAAAACTAAATTAGTGTATAATTCGATAGATCTTCCCTTTTTGATATTCCACTACTGTTTCATTGTATTTGTGTGAAAAAAGAAGTGAAATATAAAAATATTTCATAGATACGTTTATGACCCTAAATATATTTACTGTAGTTTAATAACTCTAGATCTTATAATATATTTAAATATTTAGATATCTATCATCCGTTTATTCCGAAAAATCATGTAACCTTTTAGAAAATTAAATTAGTGAATAATTTGATAATTTTTCTCTTTGCGATATTCCAACAGAATTCACTTACAATTAGTGTGACAACTTTTGACCTTTCTATGACAGACACTGCATATCTCTTAATTCCGTTTTAATGAAATTTGCAATGGAAAATAACAGTTTAATGACTTATAGTCATACAATCCATAATCAATGGATCGAACAATTCATAATCAACGAATCGTACAATCCATAATCAACCGGTGATATAATAAATAGGACATTTGTTATTTTAATAGCATTTGTGATTTGTTAGCTTTAGCTCAGTTTAAAATGCAATTTAAAACATTTTATAATAGCCTAACATAGCCAAAAAATAATTTTTTTTTTTCAAAGTTCAAAGAGTAAGTGAAAGTCGTGTGTTGCGCGCACCAGATTTTTACTTTAACAGTCAAGTAGGCAATAAATTAAAAAAAAAAAAAAAAAAAGTAGAAACTTTACAATTATAGAAAAAAAGAACGCTGCAAATTATTCCACAATGGTTTATTATTTCCAGACAATTATACATCTTAAGTAACATTAACTTCATAGTTACAAAGAAAAATAAATAAATAGGTGATTCCAAATATTGGACTTAACTTTTTTTTTTAATTGGTAAATTTTATATCATTACTAATATGCTAAAAAAAATAGCATTACATCAGTAACATATTTAAAAACCAAACAAAGGATATAACATTTAGAGTAGAACATATTGAGAAAAAAAAAAGAGACCCTATCTTTGCCCCTAATTGTACGATTTTAACAATTTTTTTTTTTTAGGAAATTTCGTTAAAAAAATTTAAAACCATATACGTTGTCTACAAAAAAGTGTGAACTTATTGAGTTATTTGGAATTTAATTTTACCATCCCTTGTAACTTTTTTTCCAGCTTCTTTTCGTTGAAGTATGTTATATAGATAAATTTAAAGGGCGTCAAGAAAATGACTTTAGCGAAGTTTTATTGAAATCGGTACATTCGTTTAGGAACTACAGTCTATAGCAACACAGGTTTTTCGGACGCCATTTTGAAAGTAGAAGGCGGATGATAATGTCAATGAAGGAGGATCATCCTTGGGTGACCTCTGATTTTATATCCAAATTTGAAAATAATCGGTCCAGTAGTTTCAGAGTAATTGCACGGACGGACAAAAAAAATTTTATTCGTTTTTTGAATTTTTAGGTCGATCACAATGGTTGATTATTGAAAATAATAAACCAAAATCTTTTAACTGTTGTGTTTATTTGTCATTAATTTTTCTTAACAAATTGATTATTTTTGCAATACTTTTCCTAAAATTTTGTTAGTAGTTGACTTATATTTTTCTTACTTTAGTCTAAATGGTTTTCAGGCACTAGGTATCGCCGTATAATAGTAATTATTATATCTTCATTTTTCTCTTGATGTCCAATACTCTAAAGGATAATGTCCAAATAAGCTTATCTATGCTGTTTCTTTGTTTACAACTGAGATAAATTGGTTTCAGCAATGATAAGTAATGATCAGTAATGATTAAACATGTAAGGATCTTCATGATAAAAGCGATCCTGAGCATCTTTGCCATTCTTGTGACGTTCATTCATTAATTACCACGTAGGGTCCCCTTTAAGTTAATGCATCCTTTTTGGCAACACTGCTCAGGTACAAATATAGCAGGTTGGATTGGGTTTAGTAACCTCAGTAGGATTCCTTTGTTTTTTGTTATTGTGACATGTAGAGAAGAATAAAGGTGTTTTTGTGGGGTAAAAGTTTTCATCTAAGCCTCATTTTTTTCTGAATATATTTCCTTATATTAAAATTACTTATGAGAAGGAGTTGATTGGGGGAGGGGGGTTGCGGTCAAATTAATAATAATTTTACTTATTTAATTTAGTATTAATTTGACCGCCCCCCCTCTCCCTCCCAATCCCCCGACCTCATTTTCTTGTTACGTCAGGGTAATTGAATATTGTTGAAGTTTTATTGTATATTTAGAAATTTTTTCACCTATTTTACTGCTTATTTGATGTGTATTTGTTTTACATATTTTGTAGTCTTTTTCTACATTAAAATCTGTGCCCTGATTAATAAGGTTGCAACCCATTTTTTTTTTTTTTTTTTTTTTATTGGATACATCCAGAGCAGCTATGCCCAGATTATAGAGTTTCAAGTGTTACACCACTATGGTTGGTGGTTAGATTTCTTTTTCACACCAAACAAAATTCTATGAATGTGTTGGTTATTAAGGTGTTCATGGGTATAGCTTACTTTTATTTAGATCCTGGCCCTATTCAGCCAAAATTCTTGTCTTGATAATTTCTATTGCATCACAGCTTTTGACTTCTACTTGACCATCAGGGATAAACAAGCTCCTGACAGGACTTGTTCAATTGAGGCCTGAGCTTTTCCATTCAGTTCTTTCATCAGAATTCCATTTATAGTGTAACCATGAAATCTTGTGCCTATCTAGAAAAGTGGAGCAACATTTCTAAAGTGATGCTTAGCTGGATAGATGTAGAGAAATAGGTATAACCTTTAATTTCCTTTGATAGTAGTTTTCTTAATTTAGTTAAATAATATCAGTTTAACTTAAAATAAAACTTAGCAGACATCATTATAATAAAACTGAGCTGACATCATTAATGATTTTGTATGTATATTTTTGCTTCCTCACTACCGAAGGTAGGGAAGCATTGTACTCGTGCGAGAGATTAAAAACATTGTATGCTCAGAATCGAAAATTCCACTCCTGTTTTACGTTTCAGACATCAAGGATCAAATTTGGTTTGTCGTCTCTGCAGTCAAATCGATGTAACAGGTATATTACCTATTACTGTTTATCTGATTTTCATAAAATTGTCAGGGGTTGTGCGTGTTTGTGTCAAGATGGCCCCATATCAATTTCATCAAATTCTATCCACGACTTTTACACGCACAAATATATTTTTTATGTATGCTAATAGTTAAAGGTATCGATAACAAAAAAAACCTAGTATCAATTTCATTGAAATCTGTCCTCTACTTTCTCTTATATATGCATAAACGTGTTTTTTTAGGTATGTCCATATCACAAACCGCACATTGGATTTGTCTCAAATTTGGAGGGAAGTTAGGGATTAGTAAACAGATAATCAAGTATGCATGAATTTTATCAAATTCTAGCCACTACTCCAAAAAAACATACTTCCGCTTTCATGTCCGAAAATGTATTATTTAATACCTATAGTTTAAATACGGGTTATTCAATTTGACCCAAACTTGGAGGAAATGAGGAGAATAGTTCAAAAATTGTCTAGTATCAATTTTATTTAATTCCATTCAATAATTATAATTAATATCAATAACTGTTAACAACATGATGGCTGTCAAATATGGAAGGCATTGATTATGTGGAGTCAGAGTTAGGTTACTACAATATTTTATAAGGTTATGAAATTTTATGTTTTATTCAAGAACTTAATTTATATGGTACTGTTTGATTGATTCATAACATTATGATATATTATACGTATACTTTAGATATATTATATGTATAAATTCTGACTATTATTTGCTGAGATTCATTTTCGACCTGGATAAGTATTTTTCTTTTTTTCTTCTTTATTCAGTTATCAAATTGTTTCAAAAGTTATATTAAGTCTTTTTTCATAACTCCTAACAACAAGAGATAGTTAATTATTCAAAATGAAACCAATTTAAAGGTTCTTTAGAGGAAGACATTTTGAAAATTGAGCATTTAAGCCTTCTTAATTGAAATCAATAGGGATAAGACCTGTTTGATATTAAAGATTACTTAATTATGCATTAATACACAGAGTTTAATTGAAATTGTTGGCACCATTTTCAAAAAAATCTTAAAACTGTGTAAAATCGATAATACAAAGTGGCACTCATCTGGTTAGCTAATTTTAACAAAAAAGTTGCTGTCACATCTGAGCCATTCGCAATTTCAGTTTCGTACGACTTATTATTTTTGAGCTAGGCTGCTCACACACAGACCATTTTCCAGGACTTGATTATTTCAACTAACCTCTAAACATGTATTTCTGTTGAAAACTCAGGTTTGAAAATTTTCATGATCGCAATACTTTCTCTTACTATATATTTCATATAAGGATAGGTGAAAGTAAAACAATGTATTTCCAATGATTCTTTGATAACTTTTAGTGTCAACGATTTAATTATTAGGCTAAACAAATTGTTATGTGGGTCCTTGTGGACTATTTAGTTGATTTTTTATAACAGAGCTTATGTTTCTGAAATTCGTTAATTTTATTATTTTTTTTCAGTAACTTAGCCTTTTTTATAAAACATGTTTTTTTATTAGTTTATTTATATTATAGCATAAACCCGGAAAAAGTATTGCCACCACTACAATGAAGGCTGGTCCACGTGTTGCATTATACCATTTGAGGAGGCTCATTAGATGCAATAAGTATAGAAAAGATCTTACCAAGGTTGGTTTATTGTTGAATTTATATGTATTTTTATACAAGATGGTACTGTTTTGTTTATGTGATGATTTAAAATTTGATAATAACAGAAAAATAAATGTAAAGACTTTTGAAAATGAAATGAAAAAATAATTTTATTCTGGGACTACTGTCCCATAAGAAAAATAACAGAGTTACAAATTTATGTATCTTAGTCTGACAATAAAAATACCAATTAATTTATTGTTAATTGTTATTTCAATTGTGCAATGGATTGAAATTAAACATTGTATAGATGCGAGTAATTTTACATGTTAGGGGAAGTTTGAATGTGGAGTAGCTGTTGGAACAGGAGTTGTTTGAAGGAATTTGTGGATGTGGATTGACGCATGGGGGTAGGAAGTGAGTTCCATAAGGAAGCAGCACGAATGACGAAGGATTTGCTGAAGGAGTAAGTTTTATGGGAGGGAATATATAAGTCTATAGGTTGAGACCTAGTATTGAGAGAGTGGATAGAGGAGCGCAGAGTAAGGAGTTCCAGGATGTAGGGAGGGTTTTTAGTTCTGAAGACTTGGAAAATAAAAATGCCAAGAAGGAATTGTCGTCGGGAAGTAGGATAAAGCCACTTCAACTCGGTGTACCATAGTGAAACATGTGAACGTCTGGGGATCCCAAAAATGAATCTTATGAAACAATTCATGAGTCTTTTTAGTGTCATTTCCAGCCTGGCAGATAGCCCTCCATACACCAAGCAGCCGTAGTCGAAGTGGGGGAATACAAGGGAGGTTACAAGGAGCTGTCTGGTTTTTAGAGGAATACAATCACAATCATAGAATCTTAGGAGTTGTTTAAGGGCAGTTATGGATTTTCTGGTAATCTGGGAGATATGATTATCCCAGGAGAGGTTCTGGTCAAAGGTTACTCCTAGGTTTTTGACTGTAGGGAAAAAATGGATGGGGTGGTTATTGAGGTAAAGTAGAGGAAAGTAAGGAAGGGAGCTGATGAGATTTCTGGACCCGATGATAATAGCCTTGGTTTTATCTGCATTCAGCTTTAATTCATTTATTTATACCCATCTGTTGATGCAGTCGAATGTCCTCTTGTAGTCTCAGGCATCTCAGAAGGTTGGAAAGATTGGTATATTTGGAAATCATCGGCATATAGGTGGTAATTGGAGTGTTAAATGGCGTTAGGAAGGTCACTAATATAGATGGAGAAAAGGGTCGGAGAGAGTGAAGAACCCTGAGGGACACCTCGCGTTAATTGAAGTGATGATGATGGAGGTTTATTCGGTATTGTAACTCTGAGATCGATTGGATAAGAAGGATAGGAATCATTTTAGGACGCTATTTGACATGGGCAGGCTTTGGAGTTTGGAAAGAAGGATCTCATGATTAACGGAATCAAACGCCTTGGAAAAGTCAAAAAGAATTAGGATGGAGATTTTCTGTTTATCTATGGCGGATTGGAGGTCTTGGGTAATCCTTAGCAAGGCCGATTGGGTGGAATACTGGGATCGGAAACCAGATTGTAAGGGATTGAGGAGATGGTTTTGCTCGAGAAAGCTGTTCACTGAGAGTGAACTAATCTTTCTAGAGGCTTGGATAGGATGGAGATGGGTCTGAAGTCGGAAGCTGATGAAGGAGTTGGAACTTTGTTCAGTGGACGGACTATGGCTCTTTTCCAGGATTTGGGAAAAATGGAATTTTGGAGAGAGAAATTACATATGTGTAGAAGTGCGGGTAGTAAAGCTGGAAGGCAGAGATTGATAACTTTAACAGGTATTTGGTCAGGACCATCATCATTCGTTTTGGATTTAAGGGTGGCAGAGAGCAGGTCAGTAGGAGAGATGCCGAGAAAGTAAAACTTATCAGGATCAAAGGGGGTTTCAGTAATGGAAAAAGATGAGCGGACAGATGGAGATGTGGTTAGAAAATGGTTAGTGAAAAAAGAATTTAGCGTGTTGGGATCGATTGGATACTGTGTGCAGGTTTTCGAGGTAACAACAGAGAGCTTCTTAAGGATTTTCCATTTGAATTTAGGGTTAGGTTCTTGGGATAAAACATTATTGAAGTATTGGGCTTTGGCGCGACGTAGGGTCATTTGTGTGAGATTTCGTAGGGATTTAAATATGGAATAATGCTCAGTTAGTCTAGTACGTCTGTATCGTCTTCTAGCAGTTTCTCTTCTCCTCATTAGTTCTCTTATTTCTGTATTGATCCAAGGACCAAGTCTAAAGACAAATGGTTTTAGAGGTGTGTGACAATTGAGAAAATCGAGGAGGTTGGAGGAAAGGCATTCAACCATATCATCGATGGAGGGGAGAGAATAGATGGGTTCTAAGCAAGTGGAAAGAGAATCGAGGAAGGGGCTGATGTTTTCAGTGGTTAAGGAATCTAGATCTCTCCAGGAAATTTGTTTGGGTTTAGGTGAAGGAGTAGAGAAGTTGTATGTTGTTTCAATAAGATCATGGGATGAAAGGAAGGGAAAGGGAACTGGAATTTGCGTAGAGGATAATAGGTTATGTGGGGAATCAATAATAAATAAATCTAGCCAAGTATCAGTGGATTGGGTGTGATGGGTGGGTAGAAAGGGTACAATAAATAGATCTAAGGAAAAAACTAGGTCGGTAAGATATGTTCTGTCCAGAGTGTTTGAAAGGAGGTTGGTGTTGAGATCACCAGCGATAATAATATTTTCGTAGAGAGGAATATATGTAAGGAGGGAGGATTCGAGAGTGGGATCGAATCGGACACGAGGAGGTCGGTAAATAATGATAAAGAGTAGAGGAAAGGTACTAAAGGAAACCTGGACAAACAGATATTCTATGTTAGGGACGTCTGAAGGAGGAGATTTTAGAAGGACTTTGGCCGTCAAACTGTCATGTACGAACAATCCCACACCTCCACCTGTTCGTTACATTCGATCATGACGGAAGAGGGTACTTTTCTGTATTTTTATCAATAAACACTGTTAGCGAGCTGGTTTGTTCTGTTAATTGTTATTTAAAAAGTTAGTACTTCACATGATGGTCATAACATTTATATAGGAGTAAGAAATAGAATTCTAAAAGTAGTTTTATTGCACTCACGTGGTCAAAAATTCATTGTCATCGTACATCATTTCTTTCAGAAAACACCAGAAGAACCTGGAATTATATTATAGTACCTAGTCATGTCATAAATATTGTTATGAGGAAATATATACAGATTTCAACAAAAAAATTAATTTTTTCAAAAACTTCATTAGAAAAATGTATGTATATCTATAGAGAGTTAAACAAAAAAGAAATGTCTCCCTTTTGCCTTGACACTCATTTAATCTCCATGGTCAGTCATCAATAGCAGCACGCAGAACTTTTTAGAAAAGTGCTTAACTACTTGGACCAGAGATTGTCTGAGGTTTTCCTAGTTAAGGTGTGCTCTGTGGAATGCCATCCTCTCCAATTCGGACCAAAACCAATAATCTAGTGGGTTGAGATCAGCACTTCCTGAGGGCCAATCTGAGGCAAAGATGAACTCTGGAATGTTCTTTTGCAGCCACTGCTGAGTTGACCTGGCCTTGTGAGCTGGAGAGGAATCCTGCTGGAAAACCCAATGACTTCCAACAAACAGAGTATCATTTAGAGGACTTCCTGGGCTTCTGTAGAACTGTGTGCTACACACGATCATTTTGGTGATGACATTTGTATTCAATTGTAAAAATGTTCTCAGCGCTAAACAAAATGCTTCGATTAAGACCATTCATGTTACGGCCAAGGAGCACTTTGCATCTATGCAAATTTTTTTTAGGGAAGTGGTTAGTCTTTGTCCCGTCATTCTTCAAAAAGCGCCCATTCTAAGGTCACTTTTTATCATATATTGAGATATTGATCTGACAGAGATTTCTATTTACCGAGACATGATTTGTTGTTTTCGAATGGGATTTCTTCTGATTCCAGCAGCTACTGCTCTCACTGTATTTACCGTTCTCACAGTGCAGAGACGCACTTCGGTCGAGGTATGCCACATACAGATAGGGTCTCATCATACGGCTGATACATAAAGGTTTCAAAGTGTTAAAAATCTCTGACCTACATTTTCCAACATTGTGTAAGACGATTGCAGCTATTCGGTTTTCTTTATCACCCCACTCCATGTTAACTGAGCCAAAGAAAGTACAAACAAATTGGGATTATTATCCCGACACATAAAGAAAATAATTTGATAGAGGTGAGGATTATCTAAATAATAATACCCTAGGATGTAAACAAAATTCACCTTTTGTAACAGCAGTTATGGGTCATTCCCCATAAGATTGGGATTATTATCCCGACATGTAAAGAAAATAATTTGATAAAGGTGAGGATTATCTAAATAATAATACCCTGGGATGTAAACAAAATTCACCTTTTGTAACAGCAGTTATGGGTCATTTCCCATAAGATTGGGATTATTATCCCGACATGTAAAGAAAATAATTTGATAAAGGTGAGGATTATCTAAATAATAATACCCTAGGATGTAAACAAAATTCACCTTTTGTAACAGCAGTTATGGGTCATTTCCAAATTTGGGCGACTTCGATGTCACTGAGCAATAAAAGAGTCAAATACCTGAAACCTGTATAATATTTTTTATTTTTTTTAATGATTTATCCTTATTGAATCATATTAACGATTCATTGTTTTGTTAAAATTTAGTTTCATGACCCACATAAAAATATGTGAAATGTTGATTCTCACTCCCTTGTCCTGTCTCAGAAGCACTAACTTAATTTGAATGTACATTGTGAACTATTTTATGAGTTTTAAATCTAGGGCTATTAGGAAATTTTATGCTTATTTATCTCTATATTCACATTTAATAAGGTATTGGTGAATGCATGTTGTCTGGCCGACCCATCTTCAGAGTGTCACTAGTATTGATGCTCACTTCCGAGAAATTCTGTTCTGCTTTGAGTCCGGGGCAACATCGCTTCAATTTCTTCTTTCCTGTTTTTATTGAATTTAGATTTAGTTAAGAAAAAAAAAAATTCATAAAAGCTGTGGAGTATTTTTTCCCAAACTCACTTCCTAATGCATAAGTGTTCGTGCATAATCTTCGTTAGTTCTAACAACATACAGATTATAGATGATAATAATGGAAAGAGGTCGGGAAATTTGTATATTGTTTTTATTTCTTCTTTGCACCATGCCCCAAGAGTTCTAATTGCAGAGGCGCTTTGTTCCGCTCTTCAAAATATGTCCCAGTATTGGGTTTTTCCCAGATTTATATTTTAATATTATTATTGATTTAATAGTGTCATATTAGTATTGATGTTGGTTAATATTTAGATTTTAGAATTCTAATTTTATTTTAATGGATTAAGAACCTTTGTGGATTATAGTAGAACAGGTTTTTTTATTTCCTTCCTCACTACCGAAGATAGGGAAGCATTGTATTTGTGCGAGAGTTTAACAAAATTTTGTGCTCAGAATCAAAAATGTTCACTCACGTTTTACGTTTCAGGCATCAAAGATCAAATTTGGTTCGTTGTCATTCTAGTCAAATCGATGTAAGGGGCATATCACCTACTACTGTTGATCCAATTTACATTAAATTTTCAGAGATTGTGGGGTTGGTGTCTTGATGGTCCCATACTAATTTTTTCAAATTCCATCCTGCACTTCCCCTTACGCACATGAAATGCATTTTTGTAGATATGCCAATAATAAGAGCCGGAATGGCTCGTTCGATTTGGCTCAAAGTTGGATAAAAGGTAGATATTGATAAACAAATTAATGTAGCCTCAATTTTATTGAATTCTGTCCACTACTTTCTCTTATATATGAGCAAACGTGTTTTTCTTGATACATCTATATCTTTGAAACCCCACATTCGATTTAGCTCAAATCTGGAGGAATGTTAGTGATTTATAAACAGATAATCAAATAAATATTAATGTTATCAAATTCTATCCACTGCTCCAAAAAAGAAAAAAAAGTACTCCTGCTTTCAGATCAGGAAATGTATTATTTGATATGCCCATAGTTCAAAAACTGCGCATTTGAATAGATCCAAACTTGGAGGAAATTTGGAGAATAGAATAGAAATTACCGAGACCGAGTACCAATTTCATTGAATTCTATTTGTATCAACTGCCCAAATATTGAATTTTCGACTTCAAAACAAATTATGAAAGATAATTACCATACTGTTTTAAACTAGCCTTATAGAATAAAAGCTCGAATATGATTGAAAAGTTTTCATTAGGAAGTACTGTTTTGTAGTTATATATCAATTACTGAGACAAGCCTGAAAGTTAAGTTGTTTTTTATGTTGTGTGTAATTTATGCTCCCCTCAACTGAAAAATTTGCATGCTTACGCTTAATATATAATGTTAAGATTATTACTTTTAAAAATGATTTATATTAAATCTTAGTCTCTTGTTTTATTTTAACTATTGATATATATTTATAAATTTTAGGCTGCTTTAAGAAGGGCATCTGCTATTCTCAATTCTCAGAAAAGAACAATACAGGTGAAGAAATCAAGACCCAAGAAATCAGATTGAACATAATGATGTGATGTTTAATAAAGTTTTTAAATCTATTTGATATCTTTTATTTTTCCCCCAATTTTAATACTAGATAAAATATTGTTATTAATTTCCAAACTGATTTAGAAAAAAAACTAAGAGTTTAACTGTATTCAGACAATTAAGGATGTACACACTGTAAGTTAAAACAAACATTAAACAATACTGTTAATTAGGTGTTACTTATATCTACTCTTTTTTATTCCGGCAGTATAAATATTATAATATGAATAGTTTATAGTTCATATAACATGCCCTCTCTTTTTAGAATTTTTGTTTGCTCTATATCTCAATAATACTAAAAGGATTTATAGTTATGTAAAAAACAATTATATTTCACTTATCGCATCTTTAACAAATGGTTTCATATTAATAAATCTTTATGTGAGTTAAGTTTCCGAACTCAGCGCTAAGCTTATCGATTTATCGATGGCAGCGGAAAAAGACCGAACCATTCTTGACCTCCCAGAAGAAATTCAGTAAGTTCCTGTATTCTTTTATCCAGCGATTGGTTCCATCAGCTTTTATGGTTGATAGATCCACTGGATTTAATCTCTGTGTTTTATTTCTTAATTTACTTTCCATTATTATATTTAGGATACTTTAATCTGTATTTATTTGTTTTGAAATTCAATCATTCAGTTGGTAGTTATTTCCTTACATATTTTTTTCTTCTTTTTCATGTTTTGTAACCTTCCTCTGGAATCCATCAGGTCGTTCCTTAACTCAGCATAAATATCTGTTAATCGCTGCTGGATTCCATCGAATGGTATAATCCATTTATGGATCAGCACTGATGTTATAAACTCGCCTGTTCCAAATTTATCTCCGTTATAATTGCAGCAAGGCATCAAATTATTGCTTAGAGAAAGCTTTTAGCTGTAAGTACTTTTATTTTTTAATTAATATCTTATTGTATTTTGTTGGTTTATTGCAAAAATTAAGTAGCAATTCTTAACCTTAAATCAATGAGGACTTGAATGGATTTTCCTTTTGTATAATCAGAAAATTGTGTGCTTGTTACTATATTTGATATACTATAAAAGCTCCATCATCACCAAGGACATCTTCATTGTCCAATTCCTATCTAATAAAGATCATCAGTGCATTGCAATCTGTGCTTTCATGTACCTATCTTTTCCCAACTTTTCTGTGAACCCATGTCTTAGGCGGCTTGATTTAATGTACATGACTGGTTTATTATGTAGTTACTGAAGTTGGTATCATTTCTTATGTTACAATAGCCACCTGGAGATAATGCCCCATAGTACCTGTACCTACTTACCTTATCGGGATTTGGTGGGTCTTCTTGCATCATCTGTATGGACCCTCATTTCACTTATGTAAGTGATGATTGTTTTCAAGATTGTCTTATGAATATATAGCTTTGCCTTCCATCACAGGTTTTAAAAACTCAAAAGACTTCTGTTGCCTACTGCGATCCTTGCTTTTATTTCCACTGTAATGTTATTATTTTATGAAGCGGTGTATGGTAGGTAGATGATAAAATTAATTTTTTATAAAATAGAATTTGTACTATTTATATTACTGATAGTTGTTAAAATAATATGTGTCTAATAAGGATGTATTTTGAACTGTAAAAACTGAATTAAAATTAGTTAGCAGGATCTTTAAAATGGCTCCTGAAGCCGAAACGTCGAATAAATAATACAGGATGTAAAAACTGTACATTTGGTGACCTTTGGCCTATATTTTATAAAAAACTTATGAGAAAATGGTACCGAACCTGAATGATTTGACTAGAAAGTTATTATTTTATATCACTAAAGTTCCTAGGTGTTTTGAAACTGCCAACATTCTTAAATTGGTGGGGGTCGATAAAATATATTCATTTCAGCTTTTTGATTGTTCGGACCTTAAAACGGGTTTATATGTTTTTGTAATACACTATCTAAAATAATGTTGACTTTTATTATGCTAGGAAGAGGTAGAAAAAGAGAAATTAGGCTTGCACAGCTGGAAAATATCCTAGTTTCGGCCCTGACATATTGTCACTTAATGAACATTTTTAGGCTGAGTAATGTGATGACCAACTCACATCACTAGCCACTTTTCTGTTGACACTTATTCAATTTTTCGTTTCTGTGATTTACAAAAATTGTTTTTATAGAGTTATTCATTTTTTATATTTTAATAATCCCCAAAATTAACTGATAATGAGTTAAATCGTGGCTTTATATTGTATAAAATGCGCAATGAAATTTCTAAATATTTTTATTTGAGACAAGGTTTTTGTATAAAAACGAGTTGTTCTAAGACAACTTAGCCAAGTATCAAAGTTTTTATACCACTAATGGTTGCTAATAAATTACTGAAAGTTTCGTCTGTTTGCCCCCTCCCCTATCTCTAGCAATCATGTTCTCGGTAATTTTGGGAGCATGCATTGTCTTATCCTCTCATCTAGCACCTTCCAAACATTTATCAATAGAGAAACAGTCCTCCCCTATTTTTCATACTCAATTCCTCTAGGCTCCTACGCTAATTAATTTGATGATCCATCATTTTAATAATTATCTATCTAGTAAGTCATTTAATTAATTTATATGTATATATATATTTCTTACAGGTTTTGTTATAATTGGCAGCTATTTTGTGCTTAGATTTGTTGTGTGGATGTTATGTTATGAAATGTGAAGTGTTCACTGTTATTTTGAGGTATGATAATATTAACAGCTTCGTATATTTTGATTAAGTGTTATTAATCTACATTATCTTGACATGATGACCTTATTATTAAACACCAAGATCTCTGAATTATTTGATGATCCATCTTTCTGAAATTATAACAAAATTAATTTAAGTAAAAGAATGTCTAATAAAAAACAACTTATGATTCTTTTAAATGCATTTATTACTTTCACTTATCGATATATGTAATATATAGTAAGGGAAAGTATAGTGATCGTGAAAATTTTCGAATACACGTTTTGAGGTAGCCTGAGTCCAAATAACCAAGTCCCGCAAAATGGTCTGTGTGTGTTAGCAGTCTAGCTCAAAAACGAAAAGTCATACAAAACTGATATTACGTATTTAAGATAGATATGCCTTTGATGTGACAGCAACTTTTTCCTTAAAATCATCTAACCGGAACTTAATATTAACATTGAAATACATTTTTCTCATAAAGGGCTCTAACGATTTTGATTAAACTTTGTGTATCATTGTATAATTAAGTAATCTTGAATATCATTTAGGTCTTATCCCCATTGATGTCACTTTTCAGGGCTTAAATGCCCAATATTCATATATGTCTTCCTCTAAAGTACCTTTAAAATGGTATATTTTAAAAAATTAATCTTCTCACATTATTCAAAGTTACGAAAAATTTCTAAATATAACTTTTTAAAAAAATTGATAATTTTATAAAGGAGAAAAAATTAAAAATGCTTATCCAGGTTGAAAATGAATCTCCGGAAATACCAGTGAGAGGGTATACGTATAAGATATAGTTGGAAAGCAGAGAATTCAAGAAAACAATGTAAGGAGAGTAGAAGGTAACGTAGAGTGGCGAAAAAATGATAAATAATAATTTTTGAAAACTAATATTATTTAACGTTAATCAAATGTTTTCAAGGAAATTAAATGAAATTTAGTAACTAACTGTTGTTTATTTATTTATTAGTTACACATATTCCTGGCACATAATAAATTTGCCATCTACCTCGTTATTCATCAAATATGAAATCAAGGAGAATAAATAATAGCATAAAAAAAAATTAGTAATAAAACAAAAAGATCAAAAAAAAAAACAGTAGTAAAATAACACATAAAAAAAGATAATATATCAAGTACCTCAATGCAATAAGTCTTTTGGCCAGCGCCTCAGCAGTCTATAGAGCTTGAGTAAGTGGATGTCAATTTAGAGTCAGTCTGTCATGAAAATTATTAAAGCGGTCAATGGTAATTGCCGTGATAAAAGGAGTGTTAAGGTCAGTCTGTAACGTAAGGTTTGAAACATAAAAGGATGCGTCTACAATTTTCCAGAGGACTTTTGACTGCATGATTTTTATATTTGATTTCCTTTCTGTTCCCCATAGTTCGATTCCGTATGTCCAAATTGGTTTAATGCTGTCAAGTAGCCTAGAAAGAAGTCTGCATCGCTGATTAAGTTCTTTTCTTTTTTTGTTTTATGTGGTATATCCTTTCAGTCAGTTGTTTGTCCAAGTGGAGACCCAAATATCGTGCAGTTTTTGAAGGTGGTAGTGCGATATTAAAGAACACTGGAGGACAAGATTCATGTCTAAGTGTAAATGAAACAAATTGGCTCTTAGACTTTCATTTTTATTCTCCACCTTTTAGCCCAACAAGCTATGTCGACTAGGTGTTCTTGAAGTACCTGAGAAGCCTTAGCTGCAACCTTGTTATATATTTATATTGCTGAGTCATCAGCAAATGTAGTCAACAATGTTTCAAAATGTTATGGGATGTCTGAAGAGTAAATGTTGAAAAGTGTTGGACCCAAGACACTGCCTTGAGGTACTCCAGCTTTTATTTGTTTGATAGCAGAAAACTCAGTCCCCATTTTCACACTGGAAAATCTATCTTTTAGATATGATAGTAAAATTAAGTAATACGTTGGAGGAATAATTGTTTTTAATTTATGTAACAAACTATCGTGCCATATTCTATCAAAAGTCTGACTCATGTAAAGAAAAACGCCAGGAAAGTACAATTTTGATTCTAGTGAGAAAGATATGAAATCTACAAGGCGGTAACATAGCTGAATAGTCTAAATGATGCTGTTTGAACCCATATTGGAAATTTGGAATGACATCAAATAGTCTAAGTGAATTTAAACGCCGAAACAGAATTTTTTCGAATGCTTCAGATAGAGAAGGTAGAAGACTAATTGGGCGGTAAGAATCAGGACGGTCTATAGGCTTATTGGTTTTGTGAATCATAATTATGATTGAATATTTCCATAAAGTATTCAATATAAACTTTCAAAATATTTTTAAATTTGAAAAAAGTATTTAAAATCCTCCTAATCAAGTCAATGCCATTGTTAAATAAAACTATTACATTGTATTTGTATGAAAGAATAAGTGAAATATCAAATCATTTCATAAATGTATTAAGCATATATTTATCACCTTAATTACATTAACTGTAGTGTAATAATTCTAGATCTGATATTATATTTAAATAATCAGGTATCAACATTATATTTAAATAATTAGGTATCAACGTTTGTTAATTCCAAAAAATCGTGTAAATTTTTAGAAAATTAAATTAGTGAATAATTTTTTCTTTGTGAAATCCCAATATTATTACGTCTTCCTCTAAAGTACCATTAATTTGGTTTATTATAAATAATAACTATTTCTCATTGTTAAGAGTTATGAAAAAATGCTAAATAAACTTTTGAAAGAATTTGATTATTAAATATGGGAGAAAAAAAGAAAAGTACATTTCCATGCCGAAAATGAATATCCGGAAATAATAGTTCGAAGGTATACGATAATCTATTGTTGGAAAGCAGGGAGTAGAAAAAAAATATATATCCAATATAGAAAATTGTAGAACTTAACAGAGAGTGACAAAAAAATTTGAATAGTGATTTCTAAAAGCTAGCATGCTTTAATGTAAATCGTGTTTTTTCAAGAAATTAAATGAAGTTTTCTTACTAAATGTAAACTTTCAACTATTTTTTTTTTAGTTTGAAAAAGTATTTAAAATCCACAGATTCAAGGCAATGACACTGTTTAAGACACTATTTCATTGTAATTAGATATTTATTGTCCGTTTATTCCAAAGAATCATCATGTAACCTTTTAGAAAATTAAAGTAGTGAATAATTTGATGAATTTTCCCTTTGGGATATTCTAACAATATCATCTTCCAATTAGTATGACAATTTTTGACCTGACAGACAAAGTAAATCTATTAATTCAATTTTATTAATTTTTGCAATGGATGATAACAGTTTAATAACTAATAGTCGTACAATGCATAATCAACAGATCGTACAACCCATAATTAATCGGTAATATAATAAATAGGACTATTGTTATTTTAATGGTATTTATGATTTGTTAGCTGTAAGCATTTAACTTTAGCTCGGTTAAAAATGTTCATTTCAAGGTATGATTATTTTGACAAATTGAAAAATATATTTATAGCTACTTACGTAGTGATAATTGTAGATGATTTTCTACAAATAGGTTTAATATATGAAATGTAGAAGACCAATAGAGTACATATTGCAGGGCTGAAATTGGGGGAGGGTGGTAGTAGCAGTTATCGTGGGTGATCGTCTTGTTAAATTATGTAGTTTTCAGCTTTTTATTTGATCAGATCTTATGATGAGTTGATTTGATTTTTGAAGTATACTACCTCAAGTAGTGTACACTTTCATTGAGGTGGGGAAATTTGGAAAAATTCAGCTTCCCCTTGTTCCTCCGCAAAGAAATCTGGTTTCAGCCCTTACAACTATGTCACGCGATGAATATTTCCAGGCTGAGCAACTTGATGACTAACTCGCATCACTAACCACTTTTCTGATGACACTTGCTCATTCAATTTTTGAATTCTGTTATTGTAAAGAAAGCAAAACGTGGAATTTAATGGTATTAATTTCCAAGCTTTTCAATTTGAGACATGGTTTTTTATATGCAAACAGTTGTTTTAAGACAACTTAGTAGTAAAGTATCTGTTTTATTTAATAAAACAAGATTTTGTATAATCTATTTTTCTACTTTGCTAAGGCTTATCAATAAATTTTTGAAGGGATCATCTATGTGCTGTGCCCCCTGTCCTTGACACCTTCAGGAGCATGCATTGTCTTTATTTTGTAGGACCTTCCAAACACTTACCAGCTGAGAAATATTTATGCCCTATTTTTGTATACTCAATTCCTCTAGACTCCTGCACTAATGAACCACCACTTTAAAATTATCTCATTTGTTATATTAATTAATTTATACTTTTTTTTTATAGGTTTACTGTTTTCGGCTTAGCTAGTTAAGATTTTTTTGTATGAAATTTATGAAATATGAGGTCTTCTCTTTTATTCAGAGGTATGATATTGACAGCTTAGCATATTTTTATTAAGTGTTAGTAATGTACATTATCTTAACATGATGACCTTATTATTAATCACCAAGATCTCTGAATTATTTGATGATTCATTTTTCTGAAAATTATAACAATATTTAAGGAAAAAAATGTCTAATATAAAACAACTTATAATTCTATTAAATTAATTTATTTTTAGGTGTAACTTGGTAGGAAACCTGTTATCTTTCGTCGGCTGGGCATTTTTTATGTTGATGGTTTGTAATTTCATTTTGATTTCAAGGAATAATAATTTTGATGAATTAAAAAATATATATTCAGTGACTTATGTAGTAATAATTGTGGATACTTTATTTTTATTATTATCAAGTTATTTAATTTGTTAAATTGATATTTTTATAGGTTTACTGTGATGGACAGCTGTTTTCGGCTTAGCTAGTCAAGATTTTTTTTTATGAAATATGAGGTCTTCTCTTTTATTTAGAGGTATGATATTAACAGCTTAATATATTTTCATTAATTATTAGTGATGTACATTATCTTAACATGATGACCTTATTATTAATCACCAAGATCTCTGAATTATTTGATGATCCATCTTTCTGAAGTTATAACAATAGTTATTTACTAAAAAAATGTCTAACATAAAAAACTTATAATTCAATAAAATAATTTATTTTTAGGTTTAACTTGGTTGGAAACCTGTTATCTTTCGTCGGCTGGGCATTTTTTATGTTAATGGTGTAGAATTTCATTTTTATTTCAAGGTATGATAAGTTTGACAAATTAAAAAATATATTTATTACTACTTAAGTAGTGATATAATTGTGGATGATTTTATACAAATAGGTTTAATATCTGTAGTGATAATTGTGGATGATTTTATACAAATAGGTTTAATATCTGAAATGGAGGAGACCAATTGAATACATAGTGCAGGGCCGAAACTGGGGGAGGATGGTGGGAACAGTTATCCTGGTTGATAGTGTTGTTAAAATATATAGTTTTCAGCTTTTTGTTTGATCAGGTCTTATAATGAGTTGATTTATTTTTTAAATATACTGCCTCAAATAGTGTAGACTTTCATTGGGAGAGGGGGAGGGGAGATGTATAAAAATTCAGGTTCCCCTTGTCCCACCGGAAAAAAATCTGGTTACTACCCTTACAACTGTGTCACGTGATGAATATTTCCAGGCTGAGCAATTTGATGACCAACTCACATCACTACCCACTTTTCTGATGACACTTGCTTATTCAATTTTCAGATTCTGTAATTGACAAAAATTTGTTTTTATTGCGTTATTCATTTCTATATCTCATTTGTTATATTAGTTAATTTATACTATTTGTTTATAGGTTTATAGGTTTACTGTGATGCACAGCTATTTTCTGCTCAGCCAGTATAGCTTTTTTGTTTGGAAGTTCATAAATATGAGGTCTTCTCTGTTATTTAGAGGTATGATATTGACAGCTTAACTTCCATTAAGTGTTAGTAATTTGCATTATCTTAACATGATGACCTTACTATTAATCACCAAGATCTCTGAATTATTTGATGATCCATCTTTCTGAAATTATAACAATATTTATTTAATTAAAAAAATGTCTAACAAAAACTTATAATCCAATTAAATTAATTTATTCTTAGTTTTAACTTGCTTAGAAACATATTATATTTTGTCGGCTGGGCATTTTTATGTTAATGGTGTAGAATTTCATTTTTATTTCAAGGTATGATAATTTGGCAAATTAAAAAATTTATTTATTGCTACTACGGAAACTGGGGTGGGGATGGTGGTGGGAGCAGTTATCCTGAGTGATAGTGTTTTGAAATATATTGTTTTCTCTGTTTTATATTTGGTCAGATCTTAAAATGAGTTTATTTATATTTTTTTTTAAATATACTACCTCAAATAGTGTAAACTTTTATTAGAGGGAAGAGGGAGATATGGAAAAATGCAGGTTCCCCTTGTACCTCTGCAAAAAAAATCTGGTTTCTGCCCTTACAACTGTGTCACGTGAAGAATATTTCCAGGCTGAGCAATTTGATGACCAACTCACATCACTACCCACTTTTCTGATGACACTTGCTTATTCAATTTTTGAATTATGTAAATGACAAAAATTTGTTTGTATTGAGTTATTCATTTTTATATTTTAATGCCCTCCAAAATTAACTAATGAGTAAAATCATAGTTTTATATTGTAAAAAACCACAATGTAGAATTTAATGGTATTAATTTCCAAGCTTTTCAACTTGAGACATTGTTTTTTATATGCAAACAGTTGTTCTAAGACAACTTAGTAGTAAAGTATCTGTTTTATTTAATAAAACAAGATTTTGTATAATCTATTTTTCTACTTTGCTAAGGCTTATCAATAAATTTTTGAAGGGATCATCTATGTGCTGTGCCCCCTGTCCTTGACACCTTCAGGAGCATGCATTGTCTTTATTTTGTAGGATCTTCCAAACACTTACCAGCTGAGAAATATTTATGCCCTATTTTTGTATACTCAATTCCTCTAGACTCCTCCACTAATGAACCACCACTTTAAAATTATCTCATTTGTTATATTAATTAATTTATACTTTTTTTTATAGGATCACTGTTTTCGGGTTAGCTAGTTAAGATTTTTTTGTATGAAATTTATGAAATATGAAGTCTTCTCTTTTATTTAGAGGTATGATATGGACAGCTTAGCATATTTTCATTAAGTGTTAGTAATGTACATTATCTTAACATGATGACCTTATTATTAATCACCAAGATCTCTGAATTATTTGATGATCCGTTTTTCTGATAATTATAACAATATTTAAGGGAAAAAATGTCTAATATAAAACAACTTATAATTCTATTCTGCTCAGCCAGTATAGCTTTTTTGTTTGGAAGTTCATAAATATGAGGTCTTCTCTGTTATTTAGAGGTATGATATTGACAGCTTAACATATTTTCATTAAGTGTTAGTAATTTGCATTATCTTAACATGATGACCTTACTATTAATCACCAAGATCTCTGAATTATTTGATGATCCATCTTTCTGAAATTATAACAATATTTATTTAATTAAAATAATGTCTAACAAAAACTTATAATCCAATTAAATTAATTTATTCTTAGTTTTAACTTGCTTAGAAACATGTTATATTTTGTCGGCTGGGCATTTTTATGTTAATGGTGTAGAATTTCATTTTTATTTCAAGGTATGATAATTTGGCAAATTAAAAAATTTATTTATTGCTACTACGGAAACTGGGGTGGGGATGGCGGTGGGAGCAGTTATCCTGAGTGATAGTGTTTTTAAAATATATTGTTTTCTCTGTTTTATATTTGGTCAGATCTTAAAATGAGTTTATTTATATTTTTTTTTTAAATATAGCATTTCCAAGTCAATTTCAACCTTTTCCAAATCAAATTCAACCTTTTCCAAGTCAAATTAAACCTTTTCGAAGTCAAATTCAACCTTTTCCATTTCAAATTCAACTTTCGAATTTTTGTCAATTTTCGATTTTTTTCGAAATGAAGGCCACTTACTATATTATCGAAGTCATAGCTTTTGAAAAATACAAAAAAAAATTTAATAATGCGGTTGCATATCCGTTTATTTTAACATTTTAGATTTTTTCAGTGTGATATTTCTATGTCATTTCCAAGTCAAATTCAACCTTTTCCAGATCAAATTAAACTTTTTCCAAGTCAAATTCAACCATTTCCATTTCAAATTAAACCTTTTCCAATTCAAATTCAACCGTTTTCATTTCAAATTAATGTTTTAATTTTTTGTAAATCTTATATTTTTTTTTTAAATAATGGCCATCCCCTCCCCCCCTCCAATATGAAAGTCTATTATTATGCTCTCCTAAGTAGAATTTTCACTTACGGATATCTATTTATTGTACCTATTCGGATTTATTAGGGACTAGTATTATGCTGTCCTGTACCGAGTTTTGAAAATAACCCCCATTTTAAGATTAAGTGACTGCGTTTCGAATCATTTAAGTTTTTTTGACTTATTTGATATAAGGGTGTATTTTTATGTTTCCCGAAATTTTGAAAATGACATCCATTTTATGTTTACGCCACTGTGTTTTGACTTATTAAAGTTTTTAGAATTTATCCAATATAAAAGTCTACTTTTATGTTTCTGGAGCCGTAGATTTTGAAAACGACCTCCATTTTAAGATTAGGCCACCGCGTTTCGACTTATTTGAGTTTTTCGGATTTTTTTCATATGAGGGTGTATTCTTATGTTTCCGGAGCCGTAGATTTTGAAAACGACCTCCATTTTAAGATTAGGCCACCGCATTTCGATTTCTTTAAATGTTTCGAATTTTTATCATAAAAGATTGTATTCTTATGTTTCCGGAGTCGTAGATTTTGAAAATGACCTCCATTTTAAGATTACGCCACTACGTTTCGGCTTATTCAAGTTTTTTGAATTTATCCAATTTAAAGGTCTACTTTTATGATGCCGGAGCCTTAGTTTTTAAAACGACTTACATTTTAAGATTAGGCCACTGTGTTTCGGTTTTGTTAAGTGTTTTTGATTTTTCCTTCGAATAAAAAACAAAATACGAAGGATTAATTTATTTTTCAATAAATAAATAAAAATATCTAATCAAAATAAATAAAATATGTATTGTCTCATTTTTAATTTAATTTTAGTTATGTTTTTTAATGTTGTGGTCTCCTGTCACAAAATTATAAGATTTCGAACAATTAGCTGAAAAATCTGAATACAGAAGGTTAAATTTATTACCAGCTGCTTTTCAGCTTTTTAGTTTTCATTCTGTGGTTAATTTAACTTTAGCTTCATAATATTTATTTATTTATTTATTCATACTCGAAAACATATTGATGAAACTTTGTATTGAAAAAATCCAAAATGAAGCCTAATTATTCGAGAAGCAGCGGCTTAATCATAAAATGGAGCTTAAATATTAGATAAATTTAAATATTAAAGATTAGAAAAATTTCAATACGTCTCGGATAACATATAAGTAGATCCCTATACCGAAAAAGTAAAAAAAAAAACTTTTATAATCCAAAACACAGTGGCATAAACTTGAAATTGGGTCATTTACAAAATGGGAGAAATCTACTGCTCCAGAAACATAAAATTAGACCTTTATACTTGTTAAATTCTAAATACTTAAATAAGTTGAAACGCAGTGGCGTAATCATAAAATAGAGGTCATTTTCAGAATCTACGGTTCCGAAAACATAAAAGTAGACCTTTAAATTGGATAAATTCGAAAAACTTAAACAAGTCAAAATGCAATGGCGTAATCATGAAATGGAGGTTATTTTCAAAATTTATGGCTCAAGAAACATAAAAGTAGACCTTAATATTGGATAAATTCGAAAAACTTAAATAAGTCAAAATGCAGCGGCGTAATCATAAAATGGAGGTCATTTTCAAAATCTACAGCTCCGGAAACATAAAAATACACCCTTACATCGAATAAATCAAAAAAACTTAAATAAGTCGAAACGCAGTGGCGTAATCTTAAAATGGAGGTCATTTTCAAAATCTACAGCTCCGGAAACATAAAAATACACCCTCATATGAAAAATATCCGAAAAACTCAAATAAGTCGAAACGCGGTGGCGTAATCTTAAAATGGAGGTCATTTTCAAAATCTACAGCTCCGGAAACATAAAAATACACCCTAATTGACAAAAATTTGTTTTTATTGCGTTATTAATTTTTATATCTCATTTGTTATATTAGTTAATTTATACTATTTGTTTATAGGTTTACTGTGATGCACAGCTGTTTTCTGCTCAGCCAGTATAGCTTTTTTGTTTGGAAGTTCATAAATATGAGGTCTTCTCTGTTATTTAGAGGTATGATATTGACAGCTTAACATATTTTCATTAAGTGTTAGTAATTTGCATTATCTTAACATGATGACCTTACTATTAATCACCAAGGTCTCTGAATTATTTGATGATCCATCTTTCTGAAATTATAACAATATTTATTTAATTAAAATAATGTCTAACAAAAACTTATAATCCAATTAAATTAATTTATTCTTAGTTTTAACTTGCTTAGAAACATGTTATATTTTGTCGGCTGGGCATTTTTATGTTAATGGTGTAGAATTTCATTTTTATTTCAAGGTATGATAATTTGGCAAATTAAAAAATTTATTTATTGCTACTACGGAAACTGGGGTGGGGATGGTGGTGGGAGCAGTTATCCTGAGTGATAGTGTTTTTAAAATATT